CATTACGATCGTCAACGACATCCTTCTCGTTGTCACAGGACCGTACGCGACGCATTATGCGATTCTCAACGGCCTCTTGGTGTGGGCCATAGCTGCGCTCCTGACCATCTTGGCGCCTGTCACCTCGAAGCTTTCAGTGCACCTCGACTGTCACTTGAGTAGCGTCGACCACCAAGCCGAGTGTACCTCGGGCGAGCTGCACATTGGGAGTGCGTACCGCATGGCGGTCCTCATCGGCGCCGTCCTCGCCTCGCACGGGGTCTGCTACCTCGTCGTCCAACGAACGAGCCGCAAGCCGCCGTCGACGCATGTCGCGTCACTCTTTTTGACGTCGGGGGCCAAATTCCTGTTTGTGTCGACGCCGTGGATGTACAAGAACGTCTACTACGTCGACCGCGCGTCGGCGGCGCTAGTCGGTTTCTTGACACTGCGCCTCAGCACCACGTTGGTGGTTTTGGACGTCAAGATTTGGCGCCATTTCCAACTGCCACTGACCAATGACGCGGCGGTGCCGACGGCCCTTCGATGTGGTGTGCCGCTGCGAGATACGTGTTAGCAGCGGTGGATTATGGATGATGAATACATTCTCTGTGTTGTCTCTTGGACTGTGCAATATTCGAAATCGGATAGCGATGTTTGATTGGCTAAAACTATTTATACATATTGACAGTATTTAGAGATATAATGTGAAAAGACCAAGGACATCTTGTCCATAGAATTAAAATGCACTACTGAACGACGAGTGGTAGTGCGGCCTGCAGCGGCGGCGGAGTGTCGCGCAGCATGGTTTCAGTCGACACGACAAATGCGCGCCAAATCTTGATGTCGAGGACGACCAACTTTTGGCCCCAGCGCAGCGTGAGCAGTCCATTAAGGGCTGCCGACGCGCGGTCCACATAATAGACATTCTTGTACATCCACGGGGATTGCGTAAACAAAAACGTAGCGCCCGACGTGAGAAAGAGTGACGAGGCGGCGGTGGACGGCCGGAACTGCACACAACACGAGACAACAACGTAGCAGATCGCATGGGAGCCGACGACCAAGCCAATCAAAAGCGCCATACGGTCCAGATGGCCAATCTGGACCGAGCCCGAGGTGCAGCTCGCTGCGTAGTCGACGTCGAGCACGTGGCATTGGAGATCGATCGACGCGATGGCCGTCACGGGCGCCAACATCGTCAGGAGAGCAGCCGCCGTCCACACCAACAAGCCGTTCAGCATTGCGTAGTAGGCCGCATAGTCCCCGGTGGCCACCAAGAGAATGTCGTTGACGATCGTAATCAGCCAGGTGACTTCGTTCGCCGCCAGTAGCGTCTTGTACCACGGATCTTGCACAGTAGCCAAGTAACTTACATAGCCCGAGTACTGCAGCTGCAAGGTCGCCGTCGAGAGGACCACCAAGGCTGTCATACTCCGGAGAAGCAAGAACGGCCGGCCGACCCAGACAACACCCCCGACACGGCCGAGTTCGAGCATGTTCCAGCCCTCAAAGTGACCTCGACTCACAAGCATATAGAGACACGCGAGTGACGCAACAGCGATCATGACGCCCGTGACGTACAAGACGCCAGAGTGTAAATACTGGGCAATGTTGCTTGGCACCTCCCATGCCTGCGTCGGCTGCGAGAGCGGCGACTGAATGTCCGTGATGAGCGTCAAATTCCCGACGTCGCCTTGAAACGAAATGACATCGCGGATGCCAACGACCCAGTCGTAGAAGAAGAGCCACGCAAAAAAGCTAAACGTCGCTTCGTCTTTGGCCAAAAGATCGAGTGTCACGAGTTGGAGCGGCGCCGACGTGTTCTTCGTGGCCAGCATCATGAACGCAATGTGCAGTGCCTGAATATGCTGTTGCATCTTGCGCACTTGCGCTGGCATATCGCTCGGCAGATCCATAAACGTCGTGATAAACGAGAGTGTAGCGGGCAGGTACGTTGCGCACTGAAGCGCAAAGACGGGATCGTTGGCGCAGACCGAGGCAAAGTTGTCGGTGGGCTCAAGCCCCGAGAGAATCGCACCGACGATATACTGCTGCCGCGTCGGCAAGACCTTGGCGTTCACGCCGGATGAAAGCAAGCAAATCGCGTCGTACGAGAAAATGGCGAGCATGCCGGCGCTCAACAGCTGGCCGTGCGAAAGCTCCTTGCAGAACGGAGACCCGCCAAACGTCACCCAGTCGGACTTGAGCCACGTGGAGGGACTCGGACGCGAGAGGTCGAGCGGTGTGATCGCACGGTAGGCAGCTTGGGCGCTAGGATTCCCAGACAGTGGTGCCCGAGTGAGCTCCACTAACGACGCCATGAGCACTTGCAGGTCGGCTGGCGGCGGTACATAGACCATGTCGATCGAGCCAAAGGGCCCGAGGTACGAGCCAATCAGGTGCAACCCTTGCGACAGCGGGGACGGCAGCGTCCCATTGATCGCGTATACATTGAAGAGCGAGGTGTTGGCAAAAGCGTAGGTGGCACTGGACCGTAGAAGACTGAGACCACCAATACCAGATGTGTTCATAGCCACGGCCGAGAGATCGTTGGCCAGCGACCAGTACATCTTGAACGATGTCTGGGATTCCAGGCGGTACGCACTCGCTAGTGATGTCAGCGTCAGCGGATACGCAATGCCAAACGCATTAATGATCGAGTAGCTGTTGCGCACACCAAGCTGCTTGTAGTTTTGCCACTGCGTCTCAAACGAAGTGAGACCAAACGATCGCCAGTAGACAGCTTCGTCATGCGTACTCAGCTGCGGAGTCGCACCAGAGACCATTGCCAGCCAGTTGCGACCTTCCGACGACAATTGGAGCTCGGCGCCAATGCCAATGTCAAAGCCATTGCCCCAGCAGCTGTAGAAGATACCGAAATCAATGTTGCGAAGCACTGTCTCCAAGTACACGGCGCCGTTGGTCGTCATACTGGCGTCGCACCTTGCTTGGCGCTTGATCGAGTTGGCCATCGTCCACGTCTTCTTCATATCGAGATAGCAGTACGGCGAAAAGATCCAGGGGGCGTCACACCCATTCGAGCGTCGCAGTCCTT